TATGTATGCTATGACTCCTAATGAGATGGCGGAGTTGAGGAGGTATATTGACAAAAATCTAGCAAGAGGTTTTATCCAGCCTGCCCGGTCACGGGTCGCGGCTCCTGTTTTGTTTAAGGAGAAAAAAGATGGGGGGTTACGTTTGTGTGTGAACTTTGGGGGTCTAAATGGAGTCTGTGTGGAAAAATTATATCCCCCTCCACTCATGAAAGACCTTTTGGCCCATTTAGCAAAAGGAAAAATCTTTACTAAATTGGATTTACGGGAGGCGTATTATCGGGTGCGTATAAAGGAAGGGGACGAGTGGAAGACCACATTCAACAGTCCATTGGGAAGCTATCAATATAGAGTAATGGCATTCGGGTTACAGGGGGCTCCTGCTGTGTTTATGCAGCTTATAAATGAAGTGCTGCATGAACATTTGTATCGAGGGGTTCTTGTATACTTTGATGACATTCTCATATATTCATCCAATAAGGAAGATCATGTGCAGTTAGTCTGCCAAGTACTACGCAAACTCCTCGATGCACAATTATATGTTAAACTATCAAAGTGTGCGTTTCATCAAAGTAAATTAGACTACCTAGGATACAGAATATCGGGAGAAGGGGTAGAGATGGATCCAACGAAAGTGCAGGCTGTCCTAGACTGGCAACCACCACGGACGTGTCATCAATTGCAAAGTTTCCTCAGCTTTGCAAATTTTTACAGACAGTTTATTCCATCTTTTGCTAAAGTGGCATTGCCATTAACAGAATTACTGCATACAAAAGTCACAGGTAACAAGCCCCATCCAAACCAACCATTACCCTGGTCACTCAAGTGCCAACAAACATTTGAGGCTTTAAAAGTCTTGTTTTCAAGAGAACCAGTCTTACCAAGAGAACCAATCCAGATGAACCTTTTGAAGTACAAACAGACACGAGTGATGTGGCGGTAGGGGCAGTGCTTTTTTACAAAAGAATGAACAAGGAAGATTACAACCTTGTGCATTCACCTCTCATAAATTAACCAACACTGAGCGAGGGTGGGCGATTTGGGAGAAGGAGGCATATGCAGTAGGTGGGCATTAGCCACATGGTGTCATTTTTTTAGAAGGAGCAAAAGAAACTTTTGAGGTGTGGACTAACCACAAAAATTTGGAAGCACTACAAACGCCCAGATGACTCACTACAAAACACGTGAGATGGGTGCTATATTTCCAACGTTTCAAATTCTGACTAAAGTACGTTCCTGGAGGGAGGAACATTCTTGCGGATGCACTATCTAGGAAAACCCCAGTACCATAGTAAGCGGGAGGAGGTGGTTCAAGCCCTCATACCTCCACCTGTGCAGTCCAGGGATAAAATTCTGGTGGTACGATCTGTGGAAGACATGGTAAAATTCTGCAAGGCGCCCTTACAGTTGACCCATGGTTAATGAGCCATCCCCATACTCTTACTATGAGAGACAGGTTAGCATGGAAGGGGGAGAAATTATATGTCCCACAATCCCTATGGGTGGAGATTCTTAGGCGAGACCACAATGTAAATTCAGCTGGTCATTTTGGGTTTTTAAAAACCCTACACCTGCCCAAACGACAGTTTTGGTGGCCAGGTATGAAAATGGATGTAGAGAAATACATTCGAGAATGTTCCATGTGTGCAACTACAAAATCACGGGTGGGAAAACCATCGGGCCTGCTACAACAAGTGTCCGATCCTAACCATCCTTGGGAAGAGATTGGCATGGACTTTATAGTCGATCTACCAGCCAGCCACGGGAATACAGTAATATGGACGGTGATAGACCTATTTTCAAAACAGGCACATTTTATCCCCTGCAAAGGGTTACCATCAGCGAGGTGTTTAGTAAAACTATTTGTAACACATGTCTATCGCCTACTTGTTGCATCATATCAGATCGAGGAGTGCAATTCACTGCCCGATTCTGGAGAAATTTTATCATGTCTATTGGTTCATCTCAGGGACTGAGTTCCGCATTCCACCCTAACACAAACAGAGCAGCTGAACATGCCAACGTGATGGTCGAATGATATATTAGATGTTATATCAATTATCAGCAGACAAATTGGGCTGATCTTCTACCATTTACTGAAGTGGCGTATAATAACACCCTCCACAGCAGCACAGGGTTTACTCCATTTCAGGTGGTACACGGAATAGAGTTTGTCACTATTCCCGAATTACCTCAGGGAGGTACTGGGTCACAAAAACCAAACGATTGGATACTCCAGATTAAAAGCATATGGAAATCAGTTAAGAAGGCACTACAGAAAGCAGAACAATCATCAAAAAGACAAGCCAACAAGAAGTCCACAAAAACCCTTTCAAGTCAGTGAAGAAGTGTACCTGTCCACTAAATACTTAAAGTTATGCAGGCCATTGAAGAAGCTAGGGCCAAAGTATATCGGGCCTTTTAAAATACAACAAGTTATTAATCCAGTGACGGTGAGATTAAAATTACCCCACAGCCTTGGTAAAGTGTACCCAGCCTTCCAGTGGATTACTAAAACCAGTGATGAAATCTTCATTTAGGCAGGTACAACAACCCCCTGGTCAAGTTGGGGGAGGTCATTACAAAATCGAGAAATTACTCGATTCACTGTATCGATGGGGTCAGTTATAATATCTAGTACTATGGAAGGGATACCGAATGTCAGAGGCATCATGGGTTAGGGAGGCAGACATTGATGCCCCTCAACTAGTATGCAGATACCACCGTAAATATCCCCAAAAGCCAGGGGAAGGGGAGATGTACCCACAACCCCAATACCAACCTAACTATATGTTTTGCCTACTTCCAGGAGGGCACCTGGTAGGGGGGCTGCCTGTCAAGCCCTCCTGGGCTCGACACAGAAGGGGGGGACAGCCTGGTGACAGAGGAGGAGAACCAGCATGGGATCTAAACAGCTCACCTCCAGCGGCTGCTCTGAATGCTGGAGCAGCAAAGGGACGCCTCTGGACACCATTAGACGCCGCATATGTGCAGATATGCTGCCACGCCTGCGCAGAAGGCCGAGCCACTGAACAGTTGACGAGCGGCGAGCCGGTGCACAGCTGATGAGCAGTAGCCCGCAATTAGGCTTAACAGTCAAGGGCGTCTCAGAGAAGCTCCAAGGGTGGATGAGGTTTCTCTGATTGCTACTGAGTGCTGGTTGGGAGACGAGAAGACGGGGTTGTAGGTTGTTAGGCAGAGCTATAATGTGTGTGTAGCTTAGGATTAAGTGGTGAAGGGTGGGGTAGTAATTGGTGAAGGGTGTGGTAGTAAGTACAAGAGTGTATTTAAACAGAGCTGGGAGGCAGTTGCTCCCAGCGCAAACTTTGTAAAGAACAGAACCTGATTGCTAAGGTCTGTGTGAACGTCATCACTTTACCTCAAGTAAACTGGAGTTTGTTGGATGAAGCTGTTCCTGTGTTTTCCTTTGCCCGCAAGGGTCCGGTAGGAAAGCTGACAATAAGTTCATAATCAAGCTGTGGATGGAATTCCTCCATTTCAGTGGTGAGATACCGTATATGCCAGCGTATAAGGTGACTTGGCATATAAGACAACCCCCATCTTCGGCTCCGAGTTGCATGCCTAGAAAGTCATCTTATACGCCGGAAACTACGTTATTTCTGGCGTATAAGACGACTCGGCATATAAGACAAATTGGCATATAAGATGACCCCCGACTTCGGCGGCAATTTTAATGCTTGCGAAAGTCGTCTTATACACCGGAAAGCACGGTAGTCTTTTACTTTTTTAGAGGAGGCTATATTCACTAACAGTCAACACATACAAACAGTCAGCACTTTTCCACCTCCACAATTACTATTAAGCAACTTCACCACCCAGCTGTTTCAAATCCTTTATCTTTTCACTTTTATCATCATTTGAAGGTCCAACCCAACCTCAGAAAACAAAGAGGAAATGTAATTGCAGTAATAGTTTTGGCCACAGGATGCCCTCAGTAAGCTCTGAAATCTCTTTTCTGACTTCCAATAAAGTTTTTTTTCAAACAATAAAGATTTATCCCTTTAAAAGAATAAGTCCAGCTTAGAAAATAGATATAATAATAAAGTTCTATGATAGGGATTTTTCCAGGGCCCCAAAGTGACAAAAAAGTAGCCAATAAAGAGTTAACATTTTTTCTTTTCTTTTGTTAAAGCTCTTTTCCCAGATAGACAAAGGCAGCTCTTTCAAAACAAGGAAGTAATTCCAGAGGGCTTTTAACAGGAGAGTAGTTAAGCAAAGAGAGAAAGAGGGAAAAAATCTCACCTGCATCATCCACAGTAGTTTCTTAACTCTTAGATGTTCTTTTGACTTTTGGCTGGTGCAAAAGTCAGCCATGTTACTGGTCGATCTTTTCTCTGTCGGCTCTGAGGAGCTGCCTCCTCCCCCCGCGATCGACAAGAGACCTCCTCATCAGTAGTCGCCCCTCCAGGGTGACTTTTCGAACCGATTAAGGGTCTACCGGCAGAGGGAAAGCAGCCAGCAAAGAGAGGAGTCTCTTCGTACAACTGCATACACTGCAACCTGGAACCGGAAACCTGGTCTCCAACCTTTTTGATTTGGCAACCCAGAAAGGGAGGTAGGCACTGCTATTTGTATGTATGCAAATGGACTATGCATATGCACATGCAAAAATGAGTCCTGTGCACGTGTGCACAAATGGGCCACATGTGAATGCATGCACACATGTAAACAGCCACGTGCGAGCACTCCATCTTCCTCCTCATCCTTGAGCTCTTCCAGCTCCAGTTGCTGCTCCTGTCATCAGGCACTGTGACTAACATGGGTGAGGTTCACCTCCTTGGCCAGGTCAGTCCTGGCAGGAGCCTTGGATTCCCCCCAGCACACAGCTTCCTCCTAGTTCCTACCTTGAGCTGACATCTTGTGTCCGGTATCCACAGTAGGGCTCTACGCCTCTCCAGGTTGACCGATTCTGCAGATTCCACCTAATATAAGAACCTGCCCCAGCTAGTCCCTCAAAAAATAAGACTCTTGAATCCATTGAGTTGAATCAAAAGAACTTTTACTGACAGAAAGTGGTTGCAGTAGAGTCACACAGACTCTGAAAGTCCCACACAAAGTGCAAAGCAATTCTTTCATTTTCCCCAATCCCAGCCACCCTGACCAGTCCACTGGCAACCAAGAAGATGGTTTGATAACACTGAGGTACAAGGCAAATAACAGACCACTCTCAGGGCATAACGGCCTTCGAACCTGCCTGGAACCAGCTGGGAGGGAGTGTGCTGCGTCTCCACCTCTCTATTTCCCAAGCATGCAGCAAAAGCGAAAGCATCCCCAAAATGCCAACCTTCTTCCCCCTCCAACAGAATGGCAGGACACATTGTTGGAAAAAGATGGCGTGACCAAAAGCCATGCTTTTTAAGGTTGCTCCATTAAGCAGGGAACAACACTGAGCAGAAAGCAGTATGGACACAATACACATAAGCATATACAGTACATACAGAAAATGCATAGGTGTACTGTAACAGCTTAAACTACATATACATATTATGGCTGTGTTGAACATTTCTGCTCTGCTTCCTCCTGGAGAGGTTCCTGCAGCTTCCCATTCTGAGTAGATTCTATTTCCTTTAGATCCCAGATGAATTTGAGTGGTATATCCTTCATTTGTGCCTGAAGAATTTTGTCAAACCATTCATTTTGTGATACTGTCATAATATTCTTCCAGTCTCCAACAGTTCCTGAGGAAAAAGGAGCAGATTGAAGAATCAATTATTGACCCTAGTCTGTAGTGTGTTCTCCTGAAAAGAGCCCCAGCATTGATGCTGAATCCTCACAGACCTGCCCACCATGATTATCCCACGACTGCCAGTGCTGATCATCATTTTGGCCCTATGTAGCTAGTACAATTTTGGAACCACTATTCTGTCTTCCCACAATATCCAACTGCTACCTTTATTCTCTCATAGCACATTTATTCATCAGGCAGTAAGTAAAAGAGCAGGTTTTAGTCTCAGCAATAGTCACAACTGAGGTTTTCATAGTAATACATTAGTTTTGACATTTTTTCAGCAGAAAGAGGATATATAACATAAGCATGTTAAAATTAAATGGTTCTTTGCTTAACAAAAACAATCAGTTCTTGCACAAGGGGTCACAGAATGGACTCTTACTGCATTATTGGATCTGGAAGCAATATTTCTACTTATATCAAGGCCATGGGACTGCATAACTTAGCATGGCCCAAACAGTTCTATGAATCCCCACATCAGTCCCCAGTAATGGTACGTGAAATAGGATCTGAAAAGATTGTTTCAGCTTACTGGATTACAAACTAATTGGGGATTTATTTTACCCTGGGCTGAATTCAAAGTGCCTCTTTTAGGAACTCTTAGGATTTAAAAGCTGTGAAATTGTATGTCTGTCATGTTTGTGTGATTCTTCAGTTTAACAGTTGTATTCAGTTAATGAGGACGACCTATAATAAATCCTCTAGATTAGCAAGAAATATTAAAGGAAGGGTTAATACTGGCATTCAAATATTTGAGCTGGTTTTCTTTCGCCCACAGTGACTTGTCTCATGAGGGAGAATTTTGAGGCAACCTGTCAGCTGTTGGGCTCTCAATACCTAAAAGGCCCAATGGAGTTGCTCTCTGTAGCAATATGAAAGACAGCTGGGTGACTTTGGGCCAGTCACTCTATCTCAGCCCAACCCACCTCACAGGGTTGTTGTTGTATGGAGAAGACGAGGAAGAAGTATAACGTATGTTTGCTGCCTTGAGTTACTTGTAAAGTAATAAAGGTGGGATCAAAACCTAATAAATAAAAAGCTGCCCTTCTGGAGGAGCAGGGAATCCCTTCAAAGGGGTTGCGGGGCAAAGCAGGGAACAGCCAGCTATTGTTCAGGAACACCATCTCTCTCTCTCTCTCTCTCTCTCTCTCTCTCTCTCTCTCTCTCTCTCTCTCTCTCTCTCTCTCTCTCTCTCTCTCTCTCTCTCTCTCCCTCCTTCCCTCCCTCCCTCTCCCTCTCCCTCTCCCTCTCAATCTCCATCTCCCATTTCTCTCCCTCTCTCTTTCTTTCCTCCAATACAGCCTCATTCAGCCCCCCTTTAAAGCTACATCTCAAGATCTGGAAGATCCAGGGGAAATCCTCTTCAGAAAGAACTGGGCTCTTCTCTACCCAAGCCAAAATGGACCTGCAAGGCCTAGAAAATTGACACCATGTCCTCTCCAGTGACCAATGGGAGATGAGCTAATCCCACCCCCAGGGATAATGTGAGTGCAGAATTTGCCTCTCCTCACAGTAAACTAACATAGATTTTGCCCGCTGAAAAAATGCTCATCGAATACTGGACTAGTTAAGGATGACATAGAGCCACCTCAGGTATATGCTGGGGACAAGAAGATGTCAATGTTTTGAGAATACAAGAAAAAAAGAAGTAGTTCTGAAGCAATTTTGTCCCATGGTGAGCGGCAAAAGAGAAAAAGACCAAAGTTTTGATTTTGTTCTGTCAGTATTACCTTTGCGTATATGTTTCATGTTTGTTATTCTAAACCATTCTTCATATGTATTCACAAAATTTGCCCTAGGATCAGCTTTCATGTTCTTTAATGTAGACATCTCCACAACTTTGTCTACTTCCTGGCTGCTCAGCTCTTTTCCAATAAATTTGCATATTTGAAGTACGGTGCCTCTAGGGTCCTGGAAGAAGAAGTATTTGCTTTTGGAATATTTCTGCAGGAATCTTGTATACCCTTAATTTGGAGTAAGCTCCACTGAACTGAATGGAATTGATTTCTGGGTGAAAGCATTATATAAAATAGCATTAAAGGTTAAAGAAGTATCATTTCTTTATGCAGATAAAGCATCAGTGGAAATGAACAGGATGGAGATCCTCGACAACAGACACTTCCCATTACATCTTCATCAGTTTCAGATGAAACAAGTTATATATATATGTATGTGTGTGTAAATTACTATATGTACTTACATACATACCGTAGATATAAACACACATACATACACATATGTATCTATGTAATGGGACATTTTATATGATATTCTGCTGTTTTTTCTCTATTCTAATAAGCTCAGTGTTAACTTAATGCTTTCTTGGTAGTTTTCTAATAGACGAATACAGATTTCTATATCTTTTTTCTTCAGATCAATAATTATAGGTCTTATTAATATATTTTCAGCTCTGTATTGTATTTTATAGCTTTTGTTATTCATCTAGAAATGTTACAGTGAGTTGGGTACCCTATAAACCAACCCATCAATCAATCAGTATACATCCATTCCCATCATGTTTTTTCCCTTTTGGGAACAAGCAATGTTGTGCAAAGCACAAAAAAGGAATAAGGCAACCAGGAGAGAAAGAAAAAGGAACTATGGTTAAAGCTAAACTAAATCAATACTGTGCATTATACTTTTCCAATCTTATCAGCTTCATCTAACTATCCTTTGTCTTCTTCTGCAAACATTCACTGTTCCTTCATATTTGTTAAGTAATTGATCTTGATTGACATGACTAAATCATTTCAACAAATGTGCTTCTCTTATATAGATTGCTCTCATTTGTATTTCATCCATATTCATTCAGCCCATATTAAATCTTAATGCTAACTCTTCTTGTTTCATCACCTATTTACAGTTCCATTCAACTTTTTATATTTCTCCTGACCAAATCACCATTCCTTTTAACAAAGTGAGCAAAGCATGCTCTTATAGGCAGTCATTTTCATTTTGTTCTTTGACAAATATTCCTTCTTGTCAGTGTACCATAAAATCTCCTACCTTTATACCCATCAGCATTTATACATTTTAAACTTTTTTTCTGCTCTTTAGTTGAATTCTGCTAATTACATGGATTCAAATTTTTCAAAGAGTTTTAAGGATTCAATCCATATTTATATTAATTTTCAAATCAATATTTCTCATTCTACATTTCTTCTAACAATCAATGAGAATCATTTGAGTTATTATCCAATAACACGGCATTGTCTATGTATGTACAGTGTGCATGGTCTACATACCTAAATATAGGAATGTTCAGTCCCTATGAATGTCATCAGAAAAGTAGTTATCATATGTACTAACTTATTATAGGAACATTATAAGGGTTAATCAGTAACACGGTCAAAGTAAACAATCAAAATCCATGTGGTAAAATGGTTACTGGCCCTCTTCTTCCATCACTTATGCTTTGATCACCTTGTGGATTGCAACATACTCTACATGGGGTTGCAGTTGTACAAGCATTAGTGAACAGCCCTTGTTATAACCATATAACTGCATTGGTTTCTAATAAGTTCCCAAGTGTAATTCAGGCTACAGGTATTACCTATAAAACCCTGCTTGATCCAGGTGTTTTAGAGACCTTCCGTCTCTTGAAGTGCCTGTGCTGTGTGATTAGATAGGGCTGGCTCTTTGGGACATTCTGAACAAGTGATGTCATCTGACAGGACTAGGAAAGCTGGCCTTTTTTATCATAGTATTTGCGCCCTGAACCACCATCCTCTTGGAAATTCAGCTCTTCTCAACGTCTTCTGCTGTGAAATGAACTCTAAACACTTGGCTCTTTTCCTAGGCTTGGATTAAGCATTCCCCTTTGTGGGAGAATGATGTGGAAAAGTGTTGTGGAAAACTGCTGCATAACTTATAGAGGAGAAGAGACCACATGGATCAATTAAAAACCATTGTTGACTGCAAAGGAATACTGATCAGCTGTTTGTCAGCAAGCAGAGCATTGGAGGTACTTAAAAGCATGTCTTCTGAATTGATTTGCTTTTTTAAAAATGCCAACAGGTAGCAAAGGCTGCTTGGCAGGTTCTATGTGGTGCCTGCCTGCCTGCCTTAGGGTATATATGTTCTTTCCTTATATAAAATTATTTGGTTTTATTTATTTATTGTTTTTTTAATTCTGTGAATCTACTGTGAGTTCCCCTCCCCCCTACACACACATGTTTAAGGAGCTGATTTTAAAACTCAACACACACAAAAATCTGTATTAGCAGTCAAAAGAAGGTTCAATACTGTCGTGCCCTAGGATTACCCCAAATCAATGCAATCTCGTGGAGGGTCACAATAAGTATTCACTTTAGGTCTGCTACCAGCCTTTCCTAATAGATTAGGTAACCCATCATATCTGATAGGGTGACCTCTGTACTATGCGGATTTTGTCTGTTTACTTCAATGATTAAACTACTGACAAACTTCCATTATGTTAGTATGCATTATAAATTTCACAAAATTCCTAAAATATATTTTTTACAAATATATTAAACAGCTCAAAGGGATGTTGCTTTGTCTTACTCCCCACTCAACCTTGCACTATTCCCTTAGCACTCTTAAGAAAAAGTTCCACACTTGGGTAAAAAATCCATAATTCAATGCTATACCATTTTATTTATATAACTTCTAAATTATCAAATGCACTAATTTACCCCATGCCTCTAATAGCAATGCCACAGTCAATCATAGTTTATTTCCTATAAAATAAAGTTACTGCACTTTTTGTGGAATTTGAAAAGCTGTTTGTTGGCTTGATGCATAGTTCCCTTGTCAAACTCTTAAAGAAGGATGGAAAGAGAACAGGGATAGAAGAATGGTGTGTTCTTGCTGTATCTCCTCTTCAGGAACTTGATCTGTTCAAAAGCTTCAGAACAAAACCGTTTGCCCGTGTCCCTTCTCTACACACTTCTTTCAGGAAAAAAAAAAGCCCTGCTGAATCAGCTCTAATTTTGCTTAGTTGCATAAACAGAGATATTGATTTTCAAATTCTTGGCAAACTCACTGGAATAGTTTATATAGAGTGAAAAAGAAAAACAGGCACGAACTCTTCTTGGAAGAGTGGGAAATGTAAAAGGATGTTCAGAACATTCACAAATGTTCAACCATAGATAAAAATGAATTCTACCCTTCCTTACCTGCATCTCTGTTTGTCGAGGCCTATCCCCTAAATCCTACTTTCCTTGACCAAAGAGTAAGAGGGGAAAAGAAGTGAATAGTCTCACCTGCATTATTTCCTCATAGCACAGGATGAGAATATTGAATTCATTTTGATGTGTATACCAGCCTTTCACATGATCGAAGACCAAACTGCTAGCAACTGTTGATTCAAGCAGAGAATGGAAATAAGAGTGGTAATGCTTAAGTTAATTCTGATTTCTCACATGAGCTATGAGGAAAATATTTCTCTTTTAAATATTATATACACAAAGCCAATGTCAGTAATTCATAATGATTTTGAAGATCACTTCTTTTTAAGCAGCATGCATTATAAAATTAGAATAAGAACTCTTTGAAGGCCCTGTCTTTGGAAATGGAAAACATTGCTAAGGCTACTAACAATATTTTTTGCATTTTAAGGAGTACAGGTGGCCATCAACCATTTATTCAGTGACTGTTTGAATTTATGACAGGGGAATGAAGGGGCTTATGACTCTTGCCCGAATTTATGACTGCTGCCATGCTCCCATGATTGTGTGAACAAACTTCTTGGCAATCCGCCCGCTGCAGTGGCCTCCCCAACTATATTCTTCCCATACTGTCCCACTGGGTCCATGTGGGCTTGGGCCTGCCTCACATTGCACTGGGAGCCACATCCTTCTTCCTACTTCCATCACCGATCAATCACTTGCCATTTTGGTGTTGTAGATCTCCTTCTGGAAGCAGCCACTCCACCAGGTAACCCTCCTACTTAGTAAAGGTCATGTGGCTGTGTCAAGGAAGTGGGCATCATTTTGGAACAGCCCCAATTCATTGCGACCACTCCCAAAATGGTCTCAGCTTCCAAGGCAGAACCAGGAGCTCGAGGGGCTGAGTGGCCTGTTCTCCTTCCCCAGTCCCACACTGAGGAACAAAGCAGGCTGTTTTGCGCCTCAGCCTCTCCCTCTACATTGGAGGTTGCAAGGCAGCCATTTTGGGAGCAGCTTCCATGAATTGTGAGACCTATGAAACGCTGAAGGATAAGAAGCAGAGTGTGGGCCACTTTGGGAGGTCCAGGGCAGAGTGGGGCAGGCTTTGGGAGGCCCAGGGCAGGCCATGAGTGAGTTGTAAATGTGCTGCAGCACAGTCCTGGGCCTGAAGTAGGGTTCCCAGGGCTCCCCCACCCCAGAGACACCCCATGTTCTGCTTAATTACCAACCCTATTGCTTAACACCCAGGGAGAGCAGGGATGGGGTTGTTAAGCAAGGTGATCAGATGGGTACCTCACTTACTGACCATTATGGCTTGTGATCATCACAGTCATAAGTTGAAGAACACCTGCTTAGAAATGGCGATTGTCAGGCAATGGGCCTTTGCTAGGCACCATATCTGAGCTGCAGTGCTTCCTTGTGTCTGACCTGGGAACATCTGAATGTTTGCTTCTCAGATAGATATGGAAAGTGAAGTTTTTGCTGTTCTAGCAAACCTGGCAACTGTTCATGCTTGGCATCTTTGTCCACAAGGAAAATACCTTACTGTTTGCTTTGTAGCTAAGGTTCAAAATGGCTAGCATCTGACAGAATGGAATATACTTCACTTTTCAGAAACTTTTCCTTGCTGTGGGAAGGAAACTGTTCTTTGCTGTCAAGATAGCAACTTAAATCCAGATTCCTTTACGTTCAAGAGAGGCTGACTAAAATACATGGCAATGAAGACAGTTACAATTAATTATGTTGTTGTTGATAGTTGCGAAGTCATGTCTGACCCATCGCGAACCCATGGACAATGTTCCTCCAGGCCTTCCTTCCTCCTACCATCTTCTGGAGTCCATTTAAGCTCATGCCTATTGCTTCACTGACTCCATCCAGCCACCTCATTCTCTGTTGTCCCATTCTTCTATTGCCTTCAATCTTTCTCAGCATTAGGCCCTTCTCCAGTGAGTCCTTACTTTTCCTTAGGTGGCACAATTAATTATAGTCCTGAGTTAAAGAATGATTCAATTGGGATTGTTTTCACTCACCCAAGCCAATTGTTGTTCTGGCCAAGTTCATACCATTACTTTTTGCCTATATTTCCTCTAGTGAACATAGATTCTTATTGCTATGTTGTCTGACATGGACTTTATTTTAATAGAGAGAGGCGGTGGTTCCTGGGTGTTTCATTTTTTCCCCACACAAACCAATGAGAAGCAACTGTGCAAAGTGAGATTTAGCCTGCTGCCTCATTGGAGGGTGAGGACACTTTGGATTCATTAGATCTACAGTTGTCTCTTATTGTTGAAATGCTTCAAACTGAGTGTTGTTGCTTTTAGAAACTCCAAGGGACACACTAGCACACTAGCCCTTTTTGACAGTGTTGTGGTAATTAAAGATTTTATTTCCGACTTACTGTCTCCAGATAAAAACCTTTGCATGAATTCCTCCAAATTAGTTGAATTTTCAACTCCATTGAAACAATTGGAATAATGAAAATAGGACACTAAAATATCTTTTGGATTTCGGTACACGTAAATAACCTGCAAGAATATATATTATATGTAATCTGTAATACTGTAAATACATTTATTTTTAATAAACTGAGGATACATTCTAAAGTACATTGAAAAATGTTCTTATACAATTATATAAATCTTTCTCTTTTCTTGATATAAAGTATATTACACTGCCCCCACATTTTATTCTTATTATCATGTCACGAATTACAGAACACTGAGATATAGAAATTGGCTATAGAGTAATTGGCTATATTAGCAGTGAAACAATAAATAATACCCTAATCAAGGAACTACCAACTTAGACAAACAATCACACTGTTGTTTACAGTAAACAACAGCCTAATTGAGGAACTACCAAGAACAGTCCTAGCAAAACTGACAGGGCAAGCCACTTCTACATAAAGTGGGCAAACCCCATTCCTTTCTAGCACTCAGGATGTTCCCTAGTTGGGTAATGAAATGTCTGCAAGAAAACAACTAACCTCAGAGAGCACCAACGATCCCACAATTAACTCAAAGTTGTCTTGTGTTTTTAATGGGTCAGTCTATCTCAAGATTTTTCATTTAGGTAAAAAAAAATCTTTTTTAAAAAAAGGCAAATTGCTAAATACAATTTCATCATCTTGTTCAATTAAAGATCTGCACTTTATCTTGCTTTCTGCAGAGAATAAGGGAAAAAGTCTTAACAGAGTTGGAAGGGATCTTGGAGGTCTTCCAGTCCAAACTCCTGCTCAAGTAGGAGACCCTATACCATTTCAGACAAATGGTTGTCCAGTCTCATCTTAAAAACCTCCAATGTTGGAGCACCCACAACTTCTGGAAGCAAGTTATTCTACTGATTAATTGTTCTAACTGTCAGGAAATTTCTCCTTAGTTCTAGGTTGCTTCTCTCCTTGATCAGTTTCTATCCATTGCTTCTTATCCTGCCTTTGGAGAATAGGTTGACCCCCTCTTCTTTGTGGCAGCCCCTCAAATATTAGGACACTGCTACCATGTTCTTAGTCTTCTTAGTCCTTCTCTTCGCTAGACTGACTAGACATACCCAGTTCCTGCAACAGTTCTTCATATGTTTTAACCTCCAGCCCCATAATCATCTTTATTACTCTTCTCCGCACTCTTTCTAAAGTTTCAACATCTTTTTTATGTTGTGGGGTCCAAATCTGGATGCAATATTACCAGTGTGGTTTTACCAGATCTTGTATTTCAGTGCTATAAACATACAGCTTGATCAAGAAACCACATTTGAGGGCAACCCAAGGGACTCTATGAAGGCTCTAGCCTGATGGCTCCTGAAAAGCCCTCAAAAGCTTTGATGCTTTCCACTTGCCTTTCCTTGAACTCTGCTTTTTCTCAGCATCTCTTGGACCCAATGACAGGGATACTTCTTCCTTAGACTTCTCATTGGGTAGCAATAATTCTGGTTCCTGAGAGCTATTGCCTTGCTTCTGTTTTTATTCCCACTTTGGTTTATGACAGGGATAGATTTCTCTTGCGTTCAATGTTCATTTAGTACAGTGTTTCTCAACCTTGACAATTTTAAGGCATGTGGACTTCAACTCCCAGAATTCCACTGCCAGCAATGCTGGCTGTGGAATTCTGGGAGTTGAAGTCCACATGCCTTAAAATTGTCAAGGTTGAGAAACACTGATTTAGTAGGTATTCATCTGGTTGTGGACTCTGTTCCTATATCACCTACGCCTTGTTTTCCCCTATTTGATTTTGGTTTATCATTTGGTGTATAGCAAAATGGAATTTTTCTGTTCTAATTGTAGATTATGCCATTTTTTGTATAGGTTATCATTAAAAACAAGCATGAAAAATCATTTGTGAAATTTCATTTCCAATTAGCTCAGACGGGGCCATCACGTCAAATAATGGAATCCTTAATGACTCAGTACCTTGAGAAAGAATGGGCATGACCCCCAATCAAATTATGCTTCACTATAAAACTTAGAAGTTTTGTCTTTTAAGAATTTGCTCAATTCGTGTGGACTCCTGGCTTTTTTTCTCACATAGATAAAAGTTAATACTGCTTTATTACAGTTCATTTTCTCCTATAAGCTGTTCTCTAGTGTTCCTTCCTAGTTTTCTCCTATATGAATATAAACATGCATATATGTTTATGTATACACACACACACACACACACACACACATATATATATATATACACATATAAATATAATATACATATACATATACATTCCTTGTATTTTTTAGCTAACTCACTATTATAGTTAGAATAGAGTAACAAGATTGGCCTACTTTTCCCTTTTTGGCCCTCAGTTTCTTGGGAAATAAGTAATATGGCAGATGTGACATAATGACACGAGGTGATGGCAGCTGGCTCATATCCACATTGTAGAAGTTGTATTCTATGAATGCACACCGTTGTGCTATGGAAATATTTTCTGTTCCATTCCGATGGCCTTCATACAAAATCAAGCATACAATATTCTGGACCCAAATAGTTCCTAAAAATGAAAATCAACTTGTTTTAAACTCCAGGAAATTATCTAGGTATCACATTACATATATCACCAAAGTTGAAGAAATAACTTGAGTTTGGTCTGATTTCAAGTGTAGAAATCAATTAACACCAAGAGTGGAATAACTCATATAGGATCTGTCAGCAGAATAAACTTATTATAATTTTAAGCATATTCTATGCTGTCAGACTTATTTTCAAGTGAATTCTGGGATTCTCCTCATCACAGAAATAGAATGTAACTTATCACATACTCATGCAACACCTACAGCAGGGTTTTTCAACCTTTTCACCCATTGTACCACTTTTAGGATATGGCAACATCTGAGTACCAACAGTCGCCCAGCAAGGTGTCAAAAACTTGATGACTAAAAAAAAAAGGAAAAAAGTGATAAAGTACAGGTAGTCCTCGATTTACAACAGTTTGCTTAGTGACTGTTCAAAGTTACTATTGTGTTCTGAGCCTGCAAATGCAGGCTCGGGACATTGCAAGGCTCCCGGGCAATTGCAGAAGCTTCCCGGGACCAGACTGAGTGGCGTCGGCCGAGCGCGCATGCGCAAGGCACAAAAAGTGCCTAGAAATGTTGCCATCTTGTCCGGGGATTGGGAACCTATAAAAGGAGGCCTGCGTGCCTTTGCGCATTGTTGTTGGAGTTGGAAATAAGCACAATAAAGAGCTGTTTCAGAGACATGCGTATTCTTCATTCGCCACGGCTCCCAGGACTTAACAGTTACAACAGTTTGCTTAGTGACTGTTCAAAGTTACAATGGCACTGAAAAAAGTGCCCCCCAAGCCACAGCCAAGCAAGACACCTGCCTGCCAACGCAGCGGTGTTCTTCCTCCTGTCCAAGGTTTTCATTGTTGTGAGCATTACTGTTGAGGATTGGCAGTGAGGGGGGGGGGTGTTTGGTTTTTATTCACCCCGTCATCTGGGTGGTTGTAGCAGGTTTTGGTCACTTCACATGACTCTGGGACACTGTGAGCGTCATAAATATGAATCAGTTGCCAAGCATCTGAATGTAAATCACCAGACCCTGGAAATGCTGCAACATTCCAGCTGATCGGTGCTTCTTCTGGGCTTAGCAGAAGCGCCAGGATCAGTGTTGCTTTCCGGATGATTTGTGCTTCTTCAGGGCTCAGCAGAAGCACCAGGATCAGTGGTGAGCTCCAGCTGGAGCCTGGCGCTGATCCTGGCGCTTCCACTGAACCCTGATAGCCCCGAAGAAGTGCTGATCACCTGGAAAACGGCAGTGATCCTGGCGATTCCACTGAGCCTGACAGCCCTGCAGCTCCAGCCATCTCTCGCTCAGGCTTGTGCGGTGCTGCCACCAGTTCAGCTCATTCCCCTCCCCTGCCACCACTTTTCTAGGATGGTCACATACTACCTGCCAGGCGCCAATGTACCATAGGTGGTACCCGTACCACTGGTTGACAAGCCCTGACCTAGAGAGAAAACTCACTTAAAATCTAGAAATGTTACATTTGATATTTAGAAATGTCTTAAAGCAAGCAAGGATAGTATTTGATTATATTGTGAGTTGTATGAAATAGACAATGGTTCTGAAGTTCTAGACTGAGAGTTTTAGGATATCCAACCTATGTCTCCATATGTACTAAATTCTAAACTCTGGGCCTTATATTTGTCCCTTGTTGGAGTAGGAAGGAATTCATTTAATAATAGAGGTATCATTTTTTGCTATTTCTAGATCTCTTCTTCCAAGGGTTCCTCATTAAGGAAGGAAGGAAGGAAGGAAGGAAGGAAGGAAGGAAGGAAGGAAGGAAGGAAGGAAAGAAAGAAAGAAAGAAAGAAAGAAAGAAAGAAAGAAAGAAAGAAAGAAAGAAAGAAAGAAAGAAAGAGAATGGCAGGTGGCATTACGGAAGTGCAACCTCATGATGTTCCATAGATACATTCTTTCCTTCTTCCTAGCTCTAGAGCTCTTGAGAAAGAAAGGAGCTTGGAAATTGTTCTATCAAAGCCACAGCATACAGAATTCTCCAAATTCTTAAAAAATCAAAGGGGGAGAGAGAGAACCATGCAGTCAATGAGGTCTGTTCTGTGAGTAAGGCTTTAATAAGAAATGCCTGGTCTCAATGATACAGACCAAGTTCCAAAATAAAGGCATTCATTTATAAAGAGCAGAACTAATAAAGACTACAACCACATGTACAAAATTCCAAACTAAATCAACATAATCAGTGCAATATATCTATTCACAAGTTAGAAATGTGGCATGAGAAAGGTCCATCTCCTGCTTGGATGGAATCCAGCATTTTTCCCTACCTCTTCTTTCAAAAAACCCAAACCAGAGAAAAAAGTTTTCAGAAAAACTATTCTTGCAATTCTTCTGTCTAAAAAGCCCTTGAATACAAAACAAAAAGCTATCATGACCTTTTTTTTCTAGGTGATAGATGTGAGTCAGAGTATGGAGGAAGTGGTGGGGTGAATAGTAAAGAGCACCAAGTTATAGTATAGAAAAAGTTCCTTCTTTCTCTTGGGTCAAAGCAGGGGAAGAAAGAGTTAAATCATTTCTTTCTGGGTGGGGTTTCCAAGTAAGGGGATCCTTACTTGGTTGCAATACTTTCAAAGCATGCTGTAAACAAGATCCTAATTATGCAGAATTCCCTTGCTTAGTAAAGGATACCAACATGCTCTTAGCTCCACTAATTCCAGATTTATTATTATTATTATTATTATTTTTAAAAAGCCCTTTTAGCAGTTCTATTAACTTTTGATAATTGCAGAATGATTCCCAACAAGAAGGCTTACTTAGAACATAAAGAGGGGCAGAATGAAACTTCCCAAAGAGAAAGTTTAGTTACAGTATGAAATTCAAATATACATTTCTCATATCATATTACATAATTCTTACCAGATTTTGGATAAGTGACTATGAATATATCACTGTCTCTGACTTCAAAATCTTCTACTGACTCAAGAAGGTCAAATTTCATTATTTCTGTTGATACATTATATCCTTTATAGTTGAATAGTTCTGCATGTGATGCACTTTCCATAATAATATGGCTGCAATAAAAGAGAAATTAGGTTTTTTTCCCTCTTTAATGTTAGCAGCATAAGCAGAGTGTTGGGATCTCTCACTTCATAAGCCCTTTGTTTCAATAATTCACACTTAGCAGTGATGATCCCCAAGAGAAAACAAACTGGAAAAATTCAGATTTTTTTTTCTACAACTGTTAAAACAGGAACTCAAAACATTACATTTATGGTCTTCAACATTATCAAGAGAAAAACAAGGAAGATGAAATTTTTATAGCTGTTATATATTCCCAGGAGATGGAGAAACCTTTTGAACTTAATTTAACAAAAAGTAATAAAAATATCATGTTGGTAGTACCATTCTTTGATGGAAAGAAAAGAGGAATTTTAAAGTGTTCCGCAGAATTTAGTGGAGACTGATGTTAAAAATGTTCTAGGAGATCATGCAATTTAGAAAGCCCAGTGTTTATTTTCTTATTGTAATGTCCATGGAGTTTCTAAATCATGATGTTTGTCCCAAAGGTCCTGTTCAAAAGGCAAATGGACTTCCTTAGTTTTTTTCTTTGAAAACATTTTGCTTCTCCTCCAAGAAACGTTTTCAAGAAAAAACAAAGAAAGACCTCCCTTTTTGCCTTTGTCAAATTATTTTAACAGGGTGCAATTATTCTTGAAAAATGTTATATTTTTTTTAATTAATTGTACCATTTAACTTTAACATTTTAATTTTTCTATACTGTTTTATATTTTGATGCTTTATTCTACATCAACCAGAATCCTTCTCTGAGAGAGATGGGCAGTTCAGAAATGTGAATTATAAATGAACAAGCCTTGGTATAAGAGAATTTTCTCTCTTTTTCTTTCTGTCATATGTTCACTCAGCAACCATTCCTTTTCAGACCTGGTTGTTGGAAAGGAACTCTGTTACTAAATTAGTTGGTAAATAAGTACTCCTTGTTTACATTGTATGAGATCAGTGTTAGTCTGGATAGTAAAAAAACAGGCATCTGATAGCATCTTTCCAGATTAAAACTTTTTATTAGAAAGCACAGACTTTTGTTAGAAGCTTATTAGCTTCTGACTCCTTCTGATTCCTAGTTTATAGTAATTACAAATATAGTTGTACATAGCTAGTTGATATTCTAATAATTTTATAAAGATTTTATTGGGTTTTTTTCATAAATATATGTTAATTTTTCCAATCAACGGTTTGGCAGAGAATGAGATGGCCATGAGAGGCTGGATCTCCAGCCTCTCAGTTTGGTTTCGCTTCACCTACCATCTCTTAAAGGGATGGAAAGTTGCCCTGGAGGGGTAACGAAGAAAGAGGGATGTTTCAGGAGCTTAGATTTGGTGGTGACCAGTCTGGGTGGACTGAAGCACCCTCTAAAGGAGCAGAAGAAAGGCTGCCAGGAAAGCCGAGGAAGCTCAAGTTGTCTATAGCTGGAAGAGAAGCTATGAAAAACAGTTGATCTCCAACAACATGCTGTGTCTGGGTGAGTTGAAGTCTTTTCCTTCTCCTTGTGATTGAAAATGTTGAGACCCTGAAAGGGAGAACTTGAAAAAGTAAAGACCCCCAGAGAGACTTTTGAAGCGGCAATTTAACATTAAGGAGAAATATTGAGTTCGGAGTGTGGAGACTGATAAATAAGCCGAGGAGGACACCTAGTGGCGAAAAACAAGAAATAAAAACAAAGTGACCTTGAGAAACTTGAGAACAAAACAAAGCCTTGGTTTGAGATAACAAGTGAAAAGGCTGTTTATAGCTATGCTTGTTGACATTGGCTAAAAACCAAATAGAAATTCTCTTGAAAAAAAAGAACATTTTAGATGCAAGAAAGGACTGGAGGAGGTGGATTTGCCTCACAACAGCTGATTCCTGTTTATGCTTTGGATATAGGTTTAAGACTGTGAGCCACAAAATGAGTATATCTAATATTTCCAGACTTCCAAAGAAAATCTCATCAGTGCCCTCTGTCGTACAAGCCAGCCCAACAACTCAGAGTTTTGTTGGTACATTGCTACAGTGTGACAAAGCAAGCACGGCTCAAGATGAAACACAGGCCTCATTAAAATTAATTCAAGAAATCTTGCAGAAAAACCATGAGGAAACGCAAAGTAAACTGAAGAAAGTAAGCGAAGAAATTCTGGATATAAAGGCACAGTTTGAAGTCCAAAATCAAAAGATCATTAAAAATGAACAGAAAATCCAGGAAGTGGAAAATAAAACTGAGGACATTGATAAAAAGGTGGAAATGTTATTGCAAAAGAATGAAGGAGTGGAACAAACAAATCAAGAGCTAAAACGGGATATGGCAACGGTAGAAATGAGAGAAGTGGAACATTATTTGAGATTTCAAAATACTCCTGAAGATAGTGAAGAAAATATAGAAATGGTGATCATTGAGTTGTTGGCAGAACTTTTAAATGCAGACAGAGCAGCTATCCAGAATGAGACGGATCAAATATTCTGCATGAATTCAAGCTATGCAAGAAAAAACAGACTACCAAGAGAAGTGCATGTGAGGTTCATGAAGAAATCAACAAGAGATGAAGTACTGAGAAAAGGGAGAGAGGAACCATTACAATATAAAAATAAAGAAATTGTGGTCCTAAAACAGATGCCCAAGAGAGTAAGGGATACCCGGAGACACTACCATTTTATAACTACAAAGTTGATTGCCAAAGGCATAAATTTCAGAAGGCTAATGTCAGAAGGCATTTTAATAAACTGGAATAATACAAGACATTGACTGGATTCAATATGGAAAGCAGAGGACTTTGAAGTAAGAAATAGAGCAATTTTGGATGAAGGACTGCATCAACAACAAGGGGATAAGCAGATGGGAGAGACGGTCCAAGGAGTAATGGCACAAGCAGAACAACAGAAGGAGGAAGGTGAACAAACAGGTGAAGGAGAAGGAACTGCCAGAGAACAAAGGGCTACAAGATCGACTAGACCAAAATATAAGTAATGAAAGAGGAAATGGAGAAAAAAAATGATTTTTTTTCAGTAAACGTAAATGGACTAAACTCCCCATCAAAAAGAAATAAAATTTTTAGAAAATTTCAGAAATTAAATATAGATATAATCTGTTTACAAGAGACACACATAAAGAAAACAACATTACAAACTGTTGGAATACCCGAAAATGGGGAAGCTTCATTACACATCAGCACAACAAAAGAAACGAGGGGTGGCTGTATACGTTAAAGAGACAATAGATTCTAAATTATTATACTCAGATGAAGAAGGAAGAATTGTAATGGTTAAAATATATTTACATCAAAAAGAAATACTGTTAGTGGCAATTTATGCCCCAAATGACAATCAAGAACTATTTTATCAAAGATTACACAGGAAACTAATAGAAATGGAATACCAAAATATATGTTTAATACGAGACTTTAGTGTGATAGTAGATAGAACAATGGATTACAAAAATAGCAAAACAGAAAAACCCGTAATAAGAAGACTACCCAAGACATTTTTTGATATGGCAGAAGAAATTGGAATACAAGATCTCTGGAGAGAAATCAATCCTCAAACCCGACAATATACTTTTTACTCAAATAGCCATAAATCTTGGTCAAGAATTGACATGATTTGGATGACTTCTGAATTAAGGATGGATATACAGGAAATTGAGATAGAAATAGGCACATGGGCAGATCATAATCCTTTAAAAGTGACATGGAAAGGAATACAAAAAAATCAAGATATATTTTACATCAATCTATACTAAAAGACAAACAATTCATAGAGTTGGTGAAAAGAGAAATGGAATTCTTCTTTAAAGAAAATAAAGAAGATACATCACTACAAAAATTATGGGACACAACTAAAGTGTATTTTAGAGGTATAGCTATAATGTATATGGCAAAGAAAAATAAACAAAAAAGCCAGCAATATTTATTATTAAAAGAAAAGTTTAGAAAATTAGAGACAGAATTACAACAAAACCCACAGAAAAAGACATTGAAAAAAAGAAATGGAAATAATAAAACATAAGCTGAATTTGTTGGACTCAGAAAAGTTGGCGGAACAAATAAAGAGAGCAAAACAAAATTTCTTCAAAAATGCTAATAAGCCAGGAAAATGGCTAGCTTAAAAAACAGCGACGCAAAACTGAATAGGGGAGAAAGAGCAGATCTCCCAGCCGTCCATGGTGGCTGCATCACTGGGGGGCCCTGAAAAGGGCCAAAAATCGCCCCGGAGAGGCAACCAGCAAAGAGGGGCTTTTGCTGGATCACAGGAGAGCAGCAACTTTCCTGTGAGACCTGGCATTTCCTCCAAACCGGCGGACATAGAAATATGGCTCGTCCCTAGGCTGCTAACAGCTGAAGTCACATTAACATCTGGTAACTTCAAAGCAGCATGGAAAGGATTGGGTGAGATCTGCCTCTCTTACATCCTAATTACTTAATTTCCTGCATAAGCTGCTAAAGTACTTTCTCCCCTGTGGTGAGGGAAGGGGGATTTTAGCCCTCCCTCCAGAAACAGTGGTTATCAACCACTTGGGAGTCTAAAACGTTGGGAAAAATACTGGGATCCTAACTGGAAATTCTATTTTTTAAAACTGGTGGATTATAAGACTTGTAATTTTATGTTCTCTATTTTTTCTTCTTCTCTGATTTTAACTCTAACTATTATTGAAGATTTGGGTTCTTTTTCTCCCCTTAAAAAATAGGGGGAAAAGAAAACTGAAAACATCTAACTAACTCTGAGATGACATTTGCGGGCTAAATTTGAGACTCTAACCTGCTATTCTTTAAGATAGACTTGTTGATTGCCTTAAAAACAGATAAGATACAAAGAAATCTTGAAGCACCATCTGCAAGAAACTCAGCTCAGCTTTTTACTTGGTGGTTGTAAGTTTTTTGTTTAGTTTAATATATGACAATGGAAGAAGAACAGGAATGGATTTCTCCCACAGAGGAAGTACAGGAACAAATTCTTTATATGTTAAAAGCAATTATCCAAACTCTCCGTATGCAAGCTCAAACTATGACTTCAACTAAAGAATCATCTATACAGAATTCTATAGAGAAGGGAAAACAATCAAATGTTATGACAGAAGACTTAGTTACTCAACATGTAAAAACTGTGGAAAGCATGGGAAGGAAGCTGATAATAGAGAACAAGGAAAGGACTTTTCTTATAAACCAGAAGGAATTTGAAGACAAAAAAGAAAAACAGATGAAAAACAAGATAAATACTTTGGGAAAACCAGCTAGTACTCTTAAGAAAACAGCAACTGAATGCCTTTATCAATATCAAACGATAGTTACAACAATAAAAGGAGATCTTTTTGATGATTTAAAAGCGAAGATATGAAAGATGATTTGACAGAGGAAAAAAGCTAGAATTAGACTGAAAGGGATTGGGGTTTTGATCTATATATGAGATCTAAATAGAATATATTTAAATGGATAGAATATGTATTTTGAATATAAGATATTGTAATGATTTGAGATAAAAAATTGGATTTATAAAATCTAGAAATATAAATATCGAAATAAGAATATTATATTGTCTTATTAGTTTGTTAAGATATATGATAGATTTTACATATAAGGTCTGTATTTTAAATATTAGATCATATAAGGAATTGTGATAAAGGAATCGTATTTACTTAAATTTTGGAAAAAAGATAAATATTAAATGTTAAATTAAAATATTAAGGGAAAATCAATTACCAGGTTACTGATTTGCTAAAAGTTTGAATGTTTATAGATAACTAAGACTTGAATTTAAGATATTGTCATGAGTTGAGACACGGGTTAAATAAAACTTAGAAGTATAAATATTAATAATTAAATTCGTATATTAGCTTGTGGTATAAATGCTGATGGTTTATTTATTTATTTATTTTTCTCTTTTTCTGGAAAGGAAGAAAGGAAAGAAGTAGAAAAAGGAAAAGAAAAGAAAAATTATTAGCCCTAAATATGAGATAGGAGACTGAAAAATTGGGATCATTTAAAATCTGGAAATGATAAAGATTAAATATTAAATTTAAACATTAATGCAAAATTAAAGTTAAGAAAAACTTATTATGTTATTGTCTAAAAAATGGAATGTCAAATTAATTAAGATATGTATAGACTGAAGATTATTGATGAATATTAGAAAGGTATTTTTTGTTTGATTGATAGAATAACAACTGTATTGATCTGAATATGATAGTAGATCTTATGGGGGAAAGAGAGGGAATTTGTTGTTGTAATACTTTGAGATTTGTACTGATGATATTTAAATGTAATGGAATTAAAATGCTCAACCGCCATGCTACTTTTCAAATATGTAAATGCAATATTGGAAAATTAATAAAAAACTTGGACATAAAAAAGCTTAAAAAACAGAAAGAGAAGAAAATAATACATAATTTAGTAGATGGGAAAGGTTGTTTACAATTTAAAAAGGAAGAAATAAAAAAGATAATTAAGGAATATTATAAGGAATTGTATGGTAAATAGGAGGCTGCAAGAGAGAGAATTGCTCAATACCTAGAAGAAAGTAAATTGCCAAAAATTCCAGAGACATTTAAAACTATGTTAGAAGAAAGAATAACAATGATGGAGATATTAGAGGCTATAAAATGACAAAAAAATGGGAAAACACCAGGCCCAGATGGGCTACCGGTGGAACTTTATAAAAATCTACAAGATACATTAAGCAAACCACTGAAATATGTTTGTAATGGACTATTGTTAGAGGCCAAACTTCCAAATACATGGATAGAAGCAAATATTACTTTGATGCCAAAAGAAGATTCAGACTTGACGTATATTAAGAACTATAGACCAATTTCATTACTGAATGTGGATTACAAAATTTTTACTTCAATAATGGCAGAGAGATTGAAAAAATACTTAGTTGAATTTATACATCCAGATCAAAATGGCTTTTTACCGAAGAGACAAATTAAAAACAATTTAAGGGTGATAATGGATGTATTAGAATACTATGAATTACATCCAGGGAAACAACTAGCATTAGTGTTTTTAGACGCCCAAAAGGCGTTTGATAACATTTCCTGGCAATTTATGGTTCAGCAATTGCAAATAATGGATTTTGGAAAGAATTTTACAAATATGATAAAAACAATATATAGCAATCAGACAGCAAAAGTGATAGTGAATGGAGATGAGAGCTTTGAGATAAGAAAAGGTACGAGACAAGGGTGTCCACTATCTCCATTATTATTTATCTTTACTTTGGAAGTGTTAAATAGAAGAATAAGACAGGACACAGAAATTAAAGGATTGAAAATAAAAGATGAAACATATAAGTTACAAGCATTTGCTGATGAATTAGTGTTTATCTTGGAAGAACCTTTAGAGATGATTCCTAAACTATGGGGAAAGATAGAAGAGTATGGAGAAATGGCAGGATTAAAAATAAATAAAGAAAAAACTAAAGTAATAGTTAAGACTCAAGATAAACACAAAAGGCAAATACTAGAGAAAACAGAGGTACAAATATTGAAAAAAGTTAAATATTTAGGTATTCATCTTTTGGCTAAGTGTTCGTCAATAAAAGAAGACAATTATACAAAACTATTGAAGCAAATAAAGCTAGACTTGGAAAGATGGAAAAATCTGCAGCTTTCAATATTGAGAAAAATTGCTACAGTAAAAATGAATGTATTGCCAAAGATTTTATTTCTATTTCAAACGATTCCGATAAAACTTGAAAGAAAATTCTTTCAAGATTTAAATTCATTAATTTTGAACTTTATTTGGCAGGGGGAGAAAGCTAGAACTAAGATGAAAACATTACAAGATGCTAAGGAAAATGGAGGCTTTGGGTTGCCGGAATGGACGTTGTATGCCAAGCATCTGTGTTAACATGGGTGAAAGAGTGGATAACACTTAGAAATAAAAGGTTGTTGTATCTAGAGGGACATGATTTACAATTGGGGTAAATCGTTTCTTATGGTATGGGAAAAACAGAGTCCATAAGTACTTTCAAAATCATTTTATAAGAAATGCCTTGTCAACAGTATGGGAAAAAATTAAAGCTAAAATATATCTAAAAATTGAATTTATCAGGGTGGTTATCAACGATGGAGGCATTTATACAGTACATCCGAACTTGGTAGGCTTTGAAAAAAATATGGACATATAGAGATATTCTAAATATTGATGGGAAATTAAAATCTAAACAAGAACTGGAAAATCAGGGAATTAACTTGTCCTGGTGGGCACATTTAAAGATACAAAGTAGATATGAAAAAGATGTAAAAATGTATGGATTTTATAAGGATCAAACTGTGTTTGATAAGATTTTGTTAACCTCAAATGAGAAACTAATTAAGAAAATGTATAACTTTTTGTTAATTTTGGATATGGAAAGTGAAGAAGTGAAGGAAACAGTGATAAGATGGGCGAAAAACTTTGGCTATAATATAATTAGAAAAATGGCAACTGTTATGGGAGAGAAACTACAAACTAACAATGTCAACTTCATATAAAGAAAATCTGTATAAAATGTTTTACAGATGGCACCTGCCACCAGCAAGGTTAGCAAAAATGTTTGAAAATATGTCAGATAGATGTTGGAAATGTAAACATAACATAGGCACGTACTATCACATTTGGTGGACATGTGGCAAGGCTAAGGCCTATTGGAGAAAGATACATATGTGGTTAGAAAAAATATTGGGTGAAGAAGTTGAATTTAAACCTGAACTTTTTTTACTAGGTATTATGCCTGAAAAGACTAATAAGCAGAAATTATATTTAATCTTACACATCACCACAGCAGCGAGAATAATTTTTGCACAATACTGGAAGAATGAAGGATTGCCATCAGAAGAAGAAATAATCAGGAAAATATTGGAATGTGCAGAGATGGACAGATTAGCTATGAGGTTGAAAGATAAAGAAGATACAGACTATTATCAAACTTGGGACTTATTTTATTGTTGGCTAGAGGAAAGAATGAAGGATTAGGAATTGAACATGTATTAGCATAGCTAATTCCAGACTAATGATTTTATTAGATGGCTATATGCATGCCTCTTTAATCATACATTTTAATAGCACTGATCAGTTTAATATTCTGGTTAATATATGAAATCAAACTGGTTTAATCCTAAACAAATGTATGAATTTTCTGATCGTTGCATCAATGTGACTGCTTTTAAAAAACAAAATAATGTATGTGCTATACCTGTTAGCAGTAAAATGTCACAGAACTACTTTAAAATAAAGCTTAAAATTATTAATTTAACATCTTAATCAAACATTTTCTAATAAACTACTATAATCTATCCTAGTGCTAGGAACAAATATTTAAGAATTACCTTTATGATTCTTTCTCGCTGGTTATTGAATATCTCTTTCAGAAATAAAGCACCGAACAGAGCAGAAGGAAAATGACTCTTCTGAAATTTAGAAGCAGGCTTTTATCTGTTGATTATGGAAAAATGCATGGGGAGTGGTCCTTTTTTTTGAAGGGTTTGAACTCTAGACTGTTAATAGTTAAACACTAACCTCAGAAAGCAAACGTATATTGCACAATCACTTCATAAACAAACTTTTTTGCAATCCAGAATTAACTTTATAAAGCCAGTGGTGGAATTCAGCCAGTTTGCACCAGTTTGGCAGAACCGGTAGCTAATTTTTTGATGCCCAGGCCCAGAATGGACTTCCGGAAGTGGCATCCTCACAGAGAACTAGTTGTTCACATATTTGAATCCACCACATTTAGATCATGAACTAAAGTGAGAGATCTAGAAATAATTAACAATTAAATCAGGATTGGAAGATATGGGGGGACATCTATAGTTGCTAATATTCTGCTTTAGTTATGTGCCCTTCTTTCCACTTTTTATACTTGTTCCTATTATCTTTCAATTTATCAGAGAGTTCTTTATGCAGCCATGCTGGTTTCTTTTAAGAGCTATTATTTTTCTTCTTTGTTGGTATTGTGCTAGACTGGTTATTTTAAAAAAAAAAAAAATCCCAAGCTTCTTGTTTTCTCCTTGAGGATTCTCATCCATGGAATCCCTCCCAAGCCCTCTCTAAGTTTATTAAAATTATCTCTCTTAAAGTCCAAGACTCTAGTTTGACTGTGTTCTATTGTTATGTGCTTCCTATGTACCTTAGTTAGCTGACTAGCAAAAAGTTCATCTATTTCCCCTGTGTGGTTGGGTGGCCTATAGTATACACCTATGGCAATGTCATTTTTTTTCCCTTTTATATTGACCCAAATGCATTCAAGACAGTTTTCATCATTGTTGTGCCCTATTTCTGTAGATATGTAGTTATTTCTTATATAGAGAGCAACTCCGCCTCTTCTTTTATTTGGTCTGTTTCTTTTAAACAATTGAAATCCCTCTAGCTGAGTGTTCCATTTGTGGGTTTTATCCCACCATGTCTCCATAATGACAACTATATCATATCTGCCCTCATTTACCTGAATTTCTAGTTCACCTTGTTTACTGTTCATACTCTGGGCATTGGTGTATAGACATTTGAGTTCTTAATGACTGACACCTATGTGTTAGTCCACTTTCTTCGACACTCGCTATTAAAAGCTTGATTTTGCTTGATAGCAAGGTTGATATTCTTGTCCACACACACATCTATATTACATGCACTGCTAACCCTGTAATTTTTTGATTGCCCGGGACAGGGATGTTCTGTATCAATTAACTCACTGTCTCTAGTTTAGTTTAAATATTCCTCCAGAAAATCTGTGAGTTTATTGAAAAGTAACTCAGTCCCTTTCTTTGATGGATGCAAACTATTTCTTTTGTACATTGTTTCATTGGACCAGCTACAGACATTTTGACCATTCAGCATGAATCCCTGGCTAGCTAGACAGAATGGTCCTCAAAACATGAATTCTTATATCATTTCATAGTTTCCAAAATTGTCATTTCTAATTTTTTGGTCAGTGTCTGTTGTTGGGTTAATTTCCTTCTCAATTCTGTCTAAAAGATGTTAATTTTTGTTCCAGGGGAAATGCAGTGTTAAGTTATTTTATTGTTGTGTACCTTTTGGTGTTTCTATTCTAATTCTGTCAATTCTAATTATCTGTCTATCCTTTCCCTGAAAAAAAATATGTGTGTCTATCTACAAGAGCCTTTTGAAGCTCAAGTCTGCTTGTGTGGGGATAATTTTCTTAAGTTATTTTTCTTATCCTATCAGTAATTGGTGAAACCAGTGCTTTTCAACCAGTGGTACGGGTACCTCCTGTGGTACATTGGCACCTGGCAGGTGGTACGTGACCATCCTAGAAAACTGGTAGCGGGGGAGGGGAATGAGCAGAACTGGTGGCAGCACCACACAACCCTGAGCGAGACATGGCTGGAGTTGCAGGGCTGTCAGGGCTCAGTGGAAGCGCCAGGGTCAGCGCCAGGCTCCAGCTGGAGCTCAGCGCTGATCCTGGAGCTTCTGCTGAGCTCAGAAGAGGTGCCAATCAGCTGGAATGTTGCAGCATTCTTGTGATTTACATTCAGATGCTTGGCAACTGATTCATATTTATGACAGTCACAGTGTCCCAGGTTCATGTGAAGTGACCAAAACCTGCTACAACCACCCAGCAGACAGGGGAATAAAAACCAAACACCCCCACCCCAACCCCGCTGCCAATTCTCAACAGAAATGCTCACAACAATGAAAACCTTGGACAGGAGGAAGAGCACCGCTGGGCGGGCAGGCACCGGGCGGTATCTTGCTCGGCTGTGCCTTGGGGGGCACTTTTTTCAGTGCCATTGTAACTTTGAACAGTCATTAAGCGAATTGTTGTAAGTCGAGGACTACCTGTACTTTTATCACTTTTTTCCTTTTTTTTTCTTTGGTCAAGTTTTTGACACCTTGCTAGGCAACTGGTGGTACTCGGATGTTGCCATATCCTAAAAGTGGTACAATGGATGAAAAGGTTGAAAAGCTCTGGGTGAAACTACTATGAAGCTTTTCTGAAACATATACACATTTCTCAATCTCTAAAACAATGTGGTCTATTTTAGAATAAAACGTTAAAGGCAGATTCTCCTGCCCCTGGAAAATTGCATACCTTAAAATATTAGGCTTTTAAAATTATCTGGAGCTTTCAGCATTCTCAAGCTGCCTACCATTTTTTCCTTCAAGTTGCAAGCCTTGACTTTAATATGTTGCAAATGTTCAAGTTCAAAAGTGAAACATTTCATGTATGTTCTCTTAGCAGAATCCAGCCTTTCTTTTGTCATCTGGAATGTCCTCATTTTGTCTACCTATCTGTTTCTTTGACCACTGCAGTATTAATGTCTTTTCAAACTGCCTGCAAGCTACCCCTCCTCACCCTCATGTACATTTTCTTTTCTTGTCCTTTGTTCTCCATACCTTTTGTCTGCCTCTCCTGGGAGAGTCGACCCAGAAAGGGGGGGCAGAATCTTATTCTCATGCCTTTCAGCCCTGCATAGATGACCTCCAACAACCTTTGGAAGCAGAGCACACAGACCCAGATGCTGCCTCCATCCATTTGAGCCATGGAATTGGGTTTTGAATCCAGCCATCCACTAAAAAGCCACCATGCAACCTGAGTGGAACATCTTCCCAAATCCTACCATTCCCCAAATGCCTGTGAAAAACTACAAAGCAGAAGGAAGAAATCCTGGAGCCACTGGTGAAATGTGAAGCCTCAGAAGAGAAAATTAAAAAGACTATGGGGGGAGGGTGGAAACTCATTGTAAAGTTTTCTTTCTGCCCCATTTGTATTGTAACAAGCCAGTTGAATTTATTAATGGAGAGATGGCATTTGGGAATAGTTGGCACAGCGCAAGTACTGAACACCTTGGACTTTTGTCTTGTGGGAGAGAAAATTTATCCAGAATGTTTGCATTGCCTGTTTTATAGAAGTAGCTGCACATACACACACAAACACCATTCATAATCACACTTGAGTCTCTTTCACCTATCTTCAGTAAAGTTCCCAAAGCTGATTTTTGCTCTATTGTACCAAAGGATTGTAGGAAAAACTTCCAACAAATTCCAATGGGGAGGGAACCAAGCCCCCTCAGGTGATTTGCAATTCATATGCCCTGACTGAGGAAGTAGCAGGAAAGAGATCCCAAACCTCAGCCCTGAATATCTTGCACTGGTGAACTCAGATTGGGAGCGCTAGAGCTCATTATGTGCAATTTAAAGAAAAATTTGATAGCTGGCTTCCATATAGGCTAACCTCAATTGGACATTACAAACCTGGATTCACTGAACTAAGAGCTAAGGCAGGAAACAACCTTTGAAAATGGGCAGCCAATGGTAATGTACCGAGGAAAACCATGGCTGTGAAGAATGTTGAGAGGAATGTGCAAACCTGACTGGAAACTAAAAGTGACATCCAACATTTGAAAATGATTGGCACAGAATATTGGACACTATAAATTTCTTTTCCAGCTAACAAAATTTTTGCCCTGACTTTTAGAACTTAATGGGTTGGAAGCTCTCCTTTTGGGAGCAATTGCAGGGATCTTTTTCTGCTCCTTCCATTAGTGTCTTCTCTTTTTGGCTTAACAGTTTAAAGCTTGTTTACTAAGTCTCCCTGATCAGATCAATTTTAATCTTGTGCCAATAAAAGTGGCACAAAGGGTTGATATTGTGGGAAGTCAGCTCCCCAGAGAAGGAAATATTAAAATGGCAGAAAAATATATTTCCTCAAAAGTATTTTAAAAAGCAGAAACCAATCCTGCCACCAAGTATCTGTCCCAAGCAGAAGCCAGTTCTATACAAATGCAAATGTAAACCATCAGAAAGGCCCCAGCTAGGAGATCAAGAAGACAAAGAGACCTAAAATCTGCATACCCACCTGACACAGGACATGATAGAATTAACTCACAAAGGCCAAAGACGCACACTTAAACTCAGGAAACAGGAAATAGTTGCAAAGTTCATGCCACAGGAACAGGAAACTATTCCAAACAAAAGGCTAGAGAGGGTATAAAAACCTACCACCCATGTGCTTAGACCTTCTTTTCTCTGGTCTTTCCTGCAAGAACCATCTTTCTGACTCTTCAATAAATTTGCAAACTTCTTTCCAAAGAAGTTGCCATGTTGTTTATTTATCCCCAGCTTGGATGAACCAGGATGAAGACTTTTCTTTCTACAAGAGACTCCTTTATTACTCTCAATAAATATTTCAGCAAGCCACCCTCCAACAACCCATAAGGCTCCTCCCCCATGCTACACTGAAGGCAGCCACCCTCAGTCCCCCAAATAACAGCCCCTATATTACAAAGAAGATCCACAGAGTAGAAGCGTATTCACAGGGCAAGGTTCAAGGGTGCAAGTCCAGTCAACCAGGCTTAGTGAGTCACACGACAAACTGTACTCCACAGGCAAACTCCAGGCACAAGATTAATGATAATCCTCAGGGCAAAGACAAGGCACAAGAGAAAAGGCAATTCTTGTGCACAAGACAAGGGCAAGGTTCAAGACAAAAGGCAAAAGGCAATCCTCATGCCTAGGCAAAGCAAAAGCCAAAGCAGTTTTCAAGAAAAGGCAAGGCAAAAGACACAAGTCAAAGCTGGGGGAGTATAAGCCAAAACAAATAATTGTTCCTGGCAAAGACTAACTCTCCAAGGTGTCTCCTTAAGTCACTGTATTCCAGGTGTTCCTTGTGAGGAGGGGTGGAGCGACCTTCTCCTGAGTAGCCTTGCAGCCCTTCTTTGAGCTTGCCTACGATCCATTCTCAGTGCCCTTGGATCAAGTGGATCCTCCTCAGAGGGGATCTGCTGCCTAAGAGCATCACTGCCTGTCAGCAGCTGATCCTCCTGTGTCTGTGAAGGCATGAAGCTCTCCGTCTGGTCGACCACTTCCCCCAATGCCTGAGGGGCCTGAGACAGCATCGTCCTCAGTCCCTGGCCTCCAAACATGCCAAGGGAGATGTGCGATCTCTGTCAGATGGTTCTGGTTCCAACTCCTCCTCCTCCGAATCAGGCTCCCATGGGGCCATGGCACAGTGTATGGTGGGGGTCAATTGTTTCACTTTCTGCTTTAATAGGCCAGTCTCGCATTTGATAAGGCCTGCTGCTTCTGGATGATGATGAGTATGATATATCCATAAATATTCCACTTATTGATCCAAACTATTACAGCCTCTTTCCCAACAAGGTTCCCATTATCAGATTGGATCCGGACAGGCACCCTTATCAGAAGATCTAACCCTTTAAAGATACTCTGCTGAATTGCTCTTGCACATGGATAAATTAATAGGTATCCTAAATAGGTATCTACCATGGTATAATGTATATTGCCATCTTCCATGTTTGGGTAGGAGTCTAATATAATCTATTTGCCAAATTTGCCCTGGACTCTTTTCCCTAAACAATTTCCCCATTGGGATCTTTGACAAAGGCAAATGCTTTATCTGAGAATATTTATTTTCTATATTATTTTATTTATTGAATTTTAATGGCACCCATCTCCCCAACAAGGTGACTATAGTTTTATTTCTGATTCAAGACAATGCAGAAAGACCCTGAGCTGCATAAGCTGCTGGGACATGGCAAATTGTAATACATGATAAGTATGTATCAAACGCTGAAACTCTAGTCTATCTGCTCTCATTTCTAGAATACAAAAATACAAATGATAGTAAGAATTTCAAAGAGAAGTAATTTTAGTTGTGTTCTGCAGTTTCTACTTTACTAATAGCATAGAATTTCATGTTGCTTTATTCGAGGAGAATTAAACATTACAATGTTACATAAAGACTATTCTTGGAAGGTCATCTCTGAATCAAGCCCATTGAAGGTGGGCATCACACATTATTTTCCTCCACTGAGCTGGAAATAGGCTCAGGATCCTCCTGAATATCCCAGCAGAACTTGAAGGGCAGCTTTTCTATCCTGTCCTTAAAGACACGGTCAAACTTTTCATTCTGGGCAACAGTCATGGTGCTCTTCCAGTCTCCAACAGTGCCTGGGAAACAATGGTTAAAAAATGTCAACAGTTTTTGTATTGAATTAAACTAGAGGCTATTTTTCTCATCCTTTAAGCCTGCCACCTTGCAAGTTCTAAGACTGGAGGACATTGCCCAGAGTAGAGAGTAAAGAGGTTGTGTCTCCACCACCCTAAAGTGGCCAGTGTGAGCTAGAACAATCTCACTCCCAAAGGATGATTAGACTATGCAGGCAACAGTCTGTCATTGAAGCAGTCAGATAATATTCATGCCAAAAATCTGCCAGAATGACAAAGAGAAGACTACTTTAACATTGGTGTAGCTATGAAGGACCTATGGTTGCCTCAGATGTAGGCTGGTAATGAATTAGCACAACAGCAGGAGATAGAGTGATTGTTAGGACATGTTTATATTGTTTAAGGAAGTGTCTTTCAAATGAAGACAGTAATCCTGGTTTAAGATGAAGGCAAATATATGAAAAACGGAGTATGAATTACTACTGATTTACCTTTGCGAAGAAAGTCTCCTTTACTGCAATCTACAATGTCAGAAGGCATGAATGTGTAGTTTGCTCTAGAATCCACTTTCATGTTATCAAATGTAACTTTATCCACCACATCATCCACCTCGTTTGCAGTTAGTTTTTTTCCTAGGAAGCTGCATATTTTCAGTACAGATGAAGTCAAATATATGAAAAACAGAGTATGAATTACTACTGATTTACCTTTGTGATCGCCAAAGAATTGAGGCCTTTGAACTATGGTGCTGGAGAAGACTCCTGCTAGTCCCTTGGACTGCAAGGCATTCAAACCGGTCAGTCCTAGAAGAGATCAACCCCAACTGCTCTTTAGAAGGCCAGATCCTGAAGTTGAAACTTTGGTCACCTAATGAGAAGGAAGGACTCACTGGAGAAGGGCCTAATGCTGGGAAAGATTGAGGGCAATATAAGAAGAGGACGACAGAGAATGAGATGGCTGGATGGAGTCACTGAAGCAGTAGGTGTGAACTTAAATGGACTCCAGAAAATGGTAGAGGACAGGAAGACCTGGAGGAACGTTGTCCATGGGGTCGCGTTGAGTCGGACATGACTTCGCAATTAACAACAACAACAACAACCCCTTTGCGATGAAAGTCTCCTTTACTGCAATCTACAATGTCGGAATGTATGAATGTGTAGTTTGCTCTAGAATCCACTTTCATGTTATCAAATGTAGCTTTATCTACCACATCATCCACCTCCTTTGCAGTTAGTTTTTTTCCTAGGAAGCTGCATATTTTCAGTACAGACCTTCTCAGATCCTGCAATTTGATACAGCTTTATATTAGGCCGTCCACAACAATGGAGAAAAGATGGAAAAGTTTGTTAATATCTCACGTATCATTGCTACCACTCACTCCCCTAATCTTTAATCTTTCTTTTCTTACTGAAAAAAATTACCCTGATTATGTCATTTGTGTTTATTTTTTTAATGAAAACTATACATGTACATAGGAAGCAATATCAATGGATAAAACACAGAAATGTTTCCTTGGGACTGCTACTAAAGGTTTCCAAGAGACAAGTCAGTGAGAAATATTTTTGGATCTCAGTATATTTATAGGCCAACATTTTCCTAAGATTCAGACTCTTATCTTTTTAGCAATCCTGGCAGCATCAGAGGCTGGCCAATTCTGAAGCTAGGTTGAAAAAATGGCTTGAGTTGAGCCAAAACAGTAAAATATTATGAGACACTTTGGCCAAGATTTTGCTGAATTACAGGTGCATATTGGATTCCTTTACCAGTCAGTAACTCTATCAAAGAGTGAGATCAACTTTTTTTTATATAACATTGGTTTCCAACAGATACATGCTGGCTCTATGAATTCTAGCATACCTAGACAAGTGCACATTGTTCATTAATTGTTTCCTCCTCCTTTCTTTTGAAGAGGTGACATTTACTTTTTTTCAGACATTTCACCAGTCCTTCAGGAGTTCACAAATATAACTAAGAGTGTTCTGTAATTACCTGTTTGCTCCTTTCCTGAATAAGTTAGTCTACACATTCCTTGCTTTCTAAAGTCTCCTGTGCTTCAAAGTTGTTCATAGTGCGTTACGCATTTACATTGTCTTACCTTTTTCATTTCTTCATAAGAAAGGAAGAGAATATTGAAATCATCCTTATGAGTGTACCAGCCTTCTACATGGTCTAGCCACAAACTACTAGGCACTGATAGGAGAGAAATGAATTTGGCATAAATATAAGTGCAGTCTTCAAAGTCACTTGGTTCAATTGTTTAGCTGGGAACTGAAATGTTCCAGCTAACAGTCAGTCTCAGGGATAGCAATAGCACTTAGATTAATATACCTCGTCGTAGTGCTTCACAGTCCTCTCTAAGAGGTTTACTGAGTCAGCATATTGCCCCCAACAATCTGGGTCCTCATTTTAATGACCTCGGAAGGATGCAAGGTTGACTTCAACCTTGAGCCGATGAGAATCGAACAGCCAGCACTCAACAGAAATAGCCCACAGTACTGCATTCTAACCTCTATGCCACCGTGGCTCTTGAATTCTTAATGCTTGAATTTCTTCCATTTATCCTTATGACCTGATGAGCCTATAGGTCAAAGCTTAACTGAGGGGTCACCCTAATACCACTGAATGTGGAGAGGAGAGGGAAGAATAACTGATGTAGTTTCATACTCTCACTTGTTAAGAGGAGAGTTTTGTCAAGATGCTGCTATAATGTTGTGTTTCTTTTGCTTTTCCTTACTTGGATCTTTGGGGCAATCTGAGTTAAATTTTATACATTTGCAAATATCAGACTTACTCTAGTTAGCTCTCTTCTATTTCCAACCTTTAAATGCTTTCCATATGATTTCAAGTTAGTCTTTAGCTACCTTATATTTTGTACCTTAAGTAGGTTGTTTATATTACATATTTACACATCTTAACTTTTTCATTTCTTCATAAGAAAGGAATATTGAAATCACCCTTATGAGTATACCACTTTTTACATGGTCTAGCTACAAAATACTAGGCACTGGTATTTTTTGTTTTGTTTTGTTCCATTTTATTTTCTGTGCCTTGCCTGGTATAACGTTGTGTTTCTTTTGCTTTTCCTTACTTGGATCTTTGGGGCAATCTGAGTTAATTTTTTTATACATTTGCAAATATCAGACTTACTCTAGTTAGTTCTCTTCTATTTCCAACCTTTAAATGTTCTCCATATGATTTCAAGTTAGTCTTTAGCTACCTTATATTTAATACCTTAAGTAGGTTGCTCATATTACACAGTTACACATCTTAACTTTTTCATTTCTTCATAAGAAAGGAATATTGAAATCACCCTTATGAGCGTAGCAGCTTTTACATGGTCTAGCCACAAAATACTAGGCATTGGAATTAGAGAAATGAAACTCTCTACTTTTCAAATGAATATTAACTTTTGCTAATTTTAAATTCTGTCCATATATTTCCAACACAATCACATCCTGATTTTAAACCACCACTTACCTTTCTCAATTTTTCTTCTCCTTATTAAATGGATCCTAGTATTTCTTCTTACCTCCCTTAATAAAGTGCCTTCTCTTGCCTCTCCCATCTCCTTTAACATCATGAGTTGTCCTAAGAGTTCTGCATTCATCTCCACCAATTCATCCCATTATAAACTGTTTCATAAAATTTACACAAATTATTGCATGAAAATAGAGAATCATTATTCTTATTTTATCTTAGGGGAGAGGGTGGGTTGTATGCTCTTTGTGGGAAATAGATTGAAATATATTCATAATCTCTTATCCAAGACAAAAACTGACAAAATATTGCCACAATCAAGTCCTTCTTACCTTTGCCAGCCAAAAACCACTCTAAGAATGTATCAAAATCTTTTGGTGTTTCCCTTACAGGTGTAATTTTGGAAAAATGATAGGTAGAAACCAAGACATCCTTTGGATTTCTTAACACATAAATAATCTGTAGGAGCAACATGATAACATCTAGTCAAAAAGTGACCGTCAGAGACTCCAACTGGAATGATTGCAAGGCTAGCTTTCAATTTCATGCAGCAGAAAGAAAGTAGGATGGATGAAAGTTTTCCTTGAATGTTGGGTAGACCTAAGGGGGCCTTCTGGAAGTCAGAAGTCCATTTCTATTTAAAAAAAAAGTTTTATTGATTTTTTTTTATTTTTACAACAAGGTGCTTGAGAAACAATGTGGTTATGGGGTAATCAATTATCCAAAAACAAAATCATACATATATAATTCAGGTTAAGCCATTAGAAACTCCCTCTCTATTTCCCTCAAATAATATAATATATTCAAATTAATATATTTTTCAAAAAATTCAATCAATAAGCACAATCATCAATAACATTTCATCTGTATAAATCCAAATCCTGTTTTTAAGCTTTACTATTTACAATTACCATATTATTAACACTTTAGGTGTCCCTCGTTTCCCTTTTTCCTTAACATAATCCTTATCTCTAAAATACACATATTATTTCAACCATAACATTCTTATATTTTCTACAAGTATTCAATTTTTTAATCTAGTAATTCATTTATTAATACCATTTCTTCTTTTATCAGAAATCTCTCTTATTCTCCTTCCATTACAAAATAGCTATCCTTCATACAAATAAGAATATAACTCCAAAAATACATTTCTACTTTATTTTAAATCTATAATCTATCAATCGATCTATATCTATGAAAAACTCTTTTAACCCACTCAATAAAGTTTAAATCCAATCCAAATAATCGTTATATCCACAACAAGCATATTAATACAGAAAAACATCTTCTTACATCTTCACATATTTGATTAATTTTTATTCAATCAAGATCTCTAGAGCCTTATTTACCCGTCAAGTAAAGTTTTAAATCACATTTTTAAATCTAACTCTGGCTTTCTTTCTGTGCCAGTCCGGTTTCCATAATAGAGCTTCTATATCATCGAGTCTCAATATTTGAGTGAGGATACTTATCAATACTTCAATCTGGGCCAAGTTCTCTTTCCCTTCTTCCAATATCATCTGTACAGTATAGACAGTTTGTTTCCATGTTATAGTCATAAGTTGATTATCCACAATGTCACTATTGTCAGTAATTTGTATTTGAGAGTCAGTTCCTGTTACTTTTAACACTGCAAGTGTCTCAGTTAGAGTCGTTCTTTGATCTTCAAAATTCTCCATAAATTGTAGATTAACTTCCATTTGCTCAGTGACTTGTTCCTCTTTCTCTTAAAGTTGTGGATATTGCTGCTTATAGTCCTCTCTAGAGCTAGTTCCTTGACCTTTAGATTGATCCATTAGGATTTGAGATTCAATTTGTGGTTCAGAGATGTCATCTTTAATGTTTCTCCAGGATTTCATATATACTAGTGCTTCCAAAATTGCTTCTAATATAAGTTCATAATCAAGCTGTGGAAGGAATTCCTCCATTTCAGTGGTGAGACAGAATTTTACTTTTTTAGAGGAGGCTATATTTATTAACAGTCAACACATACAAACAGTCAGCACTTATCCACCTCCACAATTACTAGTAAGCAACTTCACCACCCAGCTGTTTCACATCCTTTATCTTTTCGCTTTTATCATTTGAAGGTCCAACCCAATCTCAGAAAACAAAGAGGAAATGTAAATGCAGTAATAGTTTTTGCCACAAGATGCCCTCAGTAAGCTGTGAAATCTCTTTTCCGGCTTCCAATAAAGTTTTTTTTCCAAACAATAATGATTTATCCCTTTAAAAAAATAAGTCCAGCTTAGAAAATAGATATAATAATAAAGTTCTATGATAGGAATTTTTCCAGAGCCCCAAAGTGACCAAAAAAGAAGTAGCCAATAAAGAGTTAACTTTTTTTCTTTTCTTTTGTTAAAGCTCTTTTCCCAGATAGACAAAGGCAGCTCTTTCAAAACAAAGAAGTAATTCCAGAGAGCTTTTAACAGGAGACTAGTTAAGCAAAGAGAGAGGGAAAGGTCTCACCCGCATCATCCATGGTGGTTTCTTAACTCTTAGAAGTTCTTTTGATTTTTGGCTGGTGCAGCTAAATGGTTGGCCATGTTACTGGCCGATCTTTTCTCCATCAGCCCTGTCTCGGACTGCGGAAGGAGCTGCCTCCTCCCCCTGCGATCGATCATCAGTAGTCACCCCTCAAGGGAGACTTTTCAACCCGATGAAGGATCTACCGGCAGAGGGAAAGCAGCCAGCGAAGAGAGGAGTCTCTTCGTGAGAATGCACATACTGCAACACAGAACCAGAAGCCTGGTCTCCAACCTTTTTTATTTGGCAACCCGGAAAGGGAAGTAGGTACTGCTATTTGTATGTATGCAAATGGACTCACACAAAAATGAGTCCTGTGCACGTGTGCACAAATGGGCCGCATGTGAGTGCATGCACACATTCACACATGTAAACAGCCACATGTGAGCGCTCCACCTTCATCCTCGTCCTTGAGCTCTTCCAGCTCCAGTTGCTGCTCCTGTCATCAGGCACTGTGACTAACATGGGTGAGGCCCTTCCTTCTTAGTCAACCTTCTTTCTGATGCCTATGGACCACTTGGGTCTCAATGAGTCACCCAGGCTCCCAACCTCTACTCGGAGAGGTCAGTCCCGGCAGGAGCCCTGGATTCCCACCAGCACACAGCTTCCTCCTAGTTCCTGCCTCGAGCTGACATCTTGTGTCCAGCATTCACGGTAAGGCTCTACGCCTCTCCAGGTTGATCGATTCTGCAGATTCCACCTAATATAAGAACCTGCCCCAGCTAGTCCCTCAAGAAATAAAACTCTTGAATCCATTGAGTTGAATCAAAAGAACTTTTACTGACAGAAAGTGGTTGTAGTAGAATCACACAGACTCTGAAAGTCCCACACAAAGCACAAAGCAATTCTTTCATTTTTCCCAATCCCAGCCACCCTGAATTTGAAATTGTATTATGACGCTGTGGTTTTAACATTAATTAGTGACTGGGTTAACTTAACAAAAGTAGAAATACTCCTCTTGGAGGGTTGGGATTTACTTTTTGGATGGCATGCCTATTTAATTTTTAATAAAAAGGTTGATAGGGTTTTTAAATCTCATATTATAAGGATTTCTTTACTTCGGGTTTGGAAGAAATATTATAGAAGTGATTTTAAAATTCCACCATGGGCTATACCTGGGCATACGATAGAAGGGATAAGGAGAGGAGTCAAGATGGATAGCGTTTCTTATGCACAATTACTTAGATGGGATGGTAAAAACTGGCAATTAAAATCTTTGGAAGATTTAACACAAGAAAATATTATTTATTCATGGTTTCATTATAGACAAATAGTGGAGAGGTGGAAGATAGATCGTAACATGGGTTTGCTTAGAGAAGATGAGAATTTATTAAAACAAATAAAAGATGAAAGACGAACTCATATTAAGAGAATTTATGGGGTGTTAGTAGAACTGGATTCAGAAGCAGAATTAGTTAAAGAATGTATGGTTAAATGGGCACAAAATTTTGATGAACCGGTTTCATTAGATACTTGGGAAATTATTTGGGTGAGGAATGTTAAATTTACACAAGCCCAAAATTTAAGGGAAAATTTTTATAAAATGTTTTATAGATGGCACCTTGATCCAGAAAAAATGTCTCGTATGTATCCTGACTTGCAGCCTAAATGTTGGAGATGTGATGTTTGGATGTTACTTATTATCATATCTGGTGGTCATGTAAAAATATAAAAGCTTTTTGGATTAAGATATGGTGGAATATCCAAAGAATTTTCAGAAGAAGGGTAAAATTTACCCCACAATTGTTTTTGTTAGGTATTGTTTCTGATTGTGATAGTAAAGAGACTATATTGATGTTAAATTTAATTACAGTGGATAGGTTGTTAGTAGGGCAATGTTGGAAGAAGGAATCTTTGCCTACTTTGCAAGAGTGGTTTCTTAAAGTTTCTTATTTGGCGGAAATGGCAAAGATTTCAGCTTTTTTGAAAGATCAACCGCAAGAGAAGTATTTCCTGGTATGGAAAAAATGGATAGATTTCATACAATATAAGTTGGATATAAAAATATTATTTAGTTTTTGAATAACTTATATTTAAAATTGAAGATATTTTATAGACAATTTTTTTTATTTGATTTTTTCTTTTTCTGTTTCTTTTTTCCTTCCTTTTTGTATTTTCTTTTTATATATTGTTGTTAACTATTTTATAATTTGTTTAATTAATGTATTTAGATTTGCTTATGGTTTATATGTGTTTTAAGATTTTTCTTAAAAATTTTAATTAAGCCTGTATTCAGCTCTGGGAAGGCCGGGGGAGGGTAGGGGAGGGTTGGGAGGGTTTGGGGAAGGGAATTGTTTTGTAAAACTTAAAAATTTTCAATAAAAAAAGAAAGAAAGAAATAAGACTCTTGAATCCATTGAGTTGAATCAAAAGAACTTTTACTGACAGAAAGTGGTTGTAGTAGAATCACACAGACTCTGAAAGTCCCACACAACGCACAAAGCAATTCTTTCATTTTTCCCAATCCCAGCCACCCTGACCAGTCCACTGGTAACCAAGGAGAAGGTTTGATAACACTGAGGTGCAAGGCAAATAACAGAACACTCTCAGGGCATGATGGCCTTTGAACCTGCCTGGAACAAGCTGGGAGGGAGTGTCTCTGCCTTTCTATTTCCCAAGCATGCAGCAAAAGCGAAAGCATCCCCCAAATGCCGACCTTCCTACCCCTCCAACAGAATGGCAGGACACATTGTTGATAATTTTATTTGGAAAACATTTATGAAATCATTCTGGTATATCTTGACCCATTTGTGGTGATAAATTATAGGATGTTTTCAACATTTTGAAAAAGATGGCATGACCAAAAGCCATACTTTTTAAGGTTGCTCCATTAAGCAGGGAACAACACTGAGCAGAAAGCAGTATGGACACAATACACATAAGCATATACAGTACATACAGAAAATGCATAGGTGTACTGTAACAGCTTAAACTACATATACGTATTATGGCTGTGTTGAACATTTCTGCTCTGCTTCCTCCTGGAGAGGTTCCTGCAGCTTCCCATTCTGAGTAGATGGTATTTCCTTTAGATCCCAGATGAATTTGAGCGGTATATCCTTCATTTGTGCCTGAAGAATTTTGTCAAACCATTCATTTTGTGATACTGTCATAATATTCTTCCAGTCTCCAACAGTTCCTGAGGAAAAAGGAGCAGATTGAAAAATCAATTATAGTGTGTTCTCCTGAAAAGAGCCCCAGCATTGATGCTGAATCCTCACAGACCTGCCCACCATGATTGTCCCACGACTGCCAGTGCTGATCATCATTTTGGCCCTATGTAGCTAGTACAATTTTGGAACCACTCTTCTGTCTTCCCACAATATCCAACTGCTACCTTTATTCTCTCATAGCACATTTATTCATCAGGCAGTAAGTAAAAGAGCAGGTTTTAGTCTCAGCAATAGTCACAACTGAGGTTTTCATAGTAATACATTAGTTTTGACATTTTTTCAGCAGAAAGAGGATATATAATATAAACATGGTTAAAATTAAATGGTTCTTTGCTTAACAAAAACAATCAGTTCTTGCACAAGGGGTCACAGAAAGGACTCTTACTGCATTATTGGATCTGGAAGCAATATTTCTACTTATATCAAAGCCATGGGACTGCATAACTTAGCATGGCCCAAACAGTTCTATGAATCCCCACATCAGTCCCCAGTAATGGTACGTGAAATAGGATCTGAAAAGATTGTTTTAGCTTACTGGATTACAAACTAATTGGGGATTTATTTTACCCTGTGCTGAATTCAAAGTGCCTCTTTTAGGAACTCTTAGGATTTAAAAGCTGTGAAATTGTATGTCTGTCATGTTTTTGTGATTCTTCAGTTTAACAGTTGTATTTAGTTAATGAGGACGACCTATAATAAATCCTCTAGATTAGTGTTATGTGCTCCTGGCTACTTTCCTTCATGACCAGAGGCAAGCTCGCCTGACCAATAACCAGCCAAGACACAGTGAAGGTCTTTTGTTTTGTTTATTGCAATAAGCGGGGAGAGAAGCTATCAAAACTTGGTTCTCTCCAAAGTTTTAACCCAAAATATCTCCTTCTTTTATTCATCCCTATCACAGGCCGCTACAGCCCCCTCTTTCCCCATTGGCTGAGGTAGTATGAGGTTACACTCTTTCCGTCCGCCTATGCACATTTCCTGATAACATACTAAATCATATT